TCTGTAAAATCCCATGCATCATATAGAACAAAAAAAAAATAACTTTTCTGTTTACTAAAATGGTCAGGAAATGTAATTAACTTATCAACAACTAAAAACATAACTGATGAGATTTATGGTCACACTATAATTTTCCTAAACGTTAAACAAATCAAAGATAAATGATTTCTTAACTCTGYTGTTGTCACATGAGCAAGAAAAGCACAACTTACTGTATATACATTACAGTACATACAGCTGACAGAAATGTGCTATTAAAAACACTTACGCCTGTTTTTTTTTCTCTTTTTAGTTCCACATGCTCTGACTAGTTCCAACACAGGCAGCAGCGTTTCACAAAAAGGACAAATATAGTACATCATAAAAAATGTTTTCCAGTAATTACCTGTTCCGCTGCTTGCATTTCCCCATAGCTGTCAAGGAAGTGACCCTGGATGGCAGAGCCAACAATGGTCAGGCCCTTCCCCGCCTTCAGCTGTGAAGCAAAGGTGAGCAGCCGCGGATATTTTACATGAAGGTCCTCATCCAGCTTCAGCAGCACTAGCAACTGTGGTCTGCAGAGCATAAATCATAAGGCATGTCAAAGTATAGTAATGTACATACTTAATCCTAATAATATGAACACTGAAAAAAATATTTTCAAATAGGTTTTAAATTCATTGTGATTATACTTAAAAYGGTGATATGTAGGAACCCTGTTGGCATGAACAAAACACGACATCATCAGTGGGAAGAAATGATGAAATAGATTGGTGCATCCAGCCACCAGTCTTTAGGGAATATACACAACAAGTAGTTTCATCACCTATGACCCATTATTTTGAACTGTTTTATCAGTTTACATTGTACAGGTTAGATTTTGTTCAAATGTGAGCTTTTTTGCAAATGAAATATATCAGGTTTTAAATTGTAATATTTTAGTTTTAATTTGTGTTGCTGTAATGCCAAGGAAGACTATGCTACCTACAAAATTCTAAACACATTTAGTAAATTTTCCTCAATTCGTGTCAAAGCACTTCTATTGTGGGTTGTCAAATTTTTATACTGAATTAGCATTTTGCTTCTTRTTTGTTCTCTACTCTACATTACAAAGATAGGCAACTAGCTGTTGAGCTTTTGGTGCAGGAGAATTGCATCTGTGTGGTTACTGYACTGTGACACGCTAACTTCCTGAAACAAGTTGTTTTCCAGATTATGGAGAAGAAACTCTGTTCACACCATTTACATACCGACGTCACATATGACTCATGTCTATTGTGGGTTTTATGTAGATAAAAGCAGTTTATGAAGCCATCAATCATATCCATGTTAATAGCTATTTTGTGTGAGAACAGGAAAAGTAGTCAGCGTCTTTTTTTTTTGCCTTCCTGTGAGTTCACTGGTGAATTTTCATTATTTTAAACCCTCCTGCTGCCCTTGGGGCAAAATGACCCACAAGGTGAGGTCTTGTGGGTCATCAAAGACAGCAAAAGTGGTTAAACTGGAACAATAAACCAGAAGTGGGGCAACACAAATTTGGTAAAACCAAAAGGTCAGAAGTCAAATGTGCAGTGTTTGCAGCTTCTATTCTCCATGGTTCTGGTAAGGTTTATGTCRTTATCTGCACATGCAAAAGTGACCCTTTTAGCAGTAAAATAAATGCCCACAGTAGTGAAGAAATAATTGTAGAATCCCCTCTTGTTTGACTTTACCTCCAGTTCTTGGTGTGAGGGGGTCCAGCTTCTAGCCTCAGCAGAGCGTAGCGTGCAGCGCTGAGCGATAATCCCCTTATCCCGTCTCCCCACTCCTTCTCTGCCCTGATTTTGTTTATGAGTGAAAACAAGGAAAGTTAAATGAGCATCAAGTAAATACTGTACATGCAGTGGCCACACTAGAACTCATCCATTCTGACAACAAACCTAACGAGAACTTATCATAGTTACATATCAACTCCATACATACCCCTGGTACTCAATGTACTTGTAGATCATCCCTGCAATACCCATGGCCACTATGGCATAGTACCAGGAGGAAATGAACATCAGAGCCAAACACATACTCATGCCAAGGAATGATAAAGCCCTGTAGGTGCAATGCATAAAGTTTTAATTTACCCAACTGCAGAGCAAACAGTAGGATTTWAAAAAAATAAGCTGATGACTGTTGATGGCTCAATAGCTTTTGTGTGTTCCACATTAAGGCTATGATGAAATGTGCAGTTGTTTTGCTAAACGTACAGTACATACTGCAAATGATACAAAGATASWAWAATGCATGAGATRCATAGATATGCCACAGTGTTCATTYCACCTACCAATGGTAATATTTGAACCTTGGTCTCCAGTTAGGTGTCCGTAAAAGAGTTTGTACTGCACAGGCTAGATTTACAAAGAGATAGCACATCAAAAAGAACCTGTTGAAAATAAATATTTAGTTTAGTGGTTTGTTCCAGCGGCATTCTTGAAAAAGAAAACAAGAAAAAATGCAATTCAAAAAATAATAATACATTCATCAGTGTATCAATGAGTAGTGTAGATAAAAGCAGAAGTGGTCAGTTTTTGCAGTGTAGGAGAATACAGTGCTACATGTAGTATTGTCATTGGGACACACAGTCTGTGTACTGAGCTTACATAGAAAGGATGGGTGCCACCATGTCCAGTGAGGCAATAAGGATCCCCAGCTCAGCTATGAGACCAGTCAGTAGCAGCGCCCATGTTGGCTCTCCATTTGTTTTTCCATGACCAAACACCTACAGTAAAAATTCAACAACTTTACGTGCAGCAGTGCAAACGATGTGTTGCTTGCTTCTTTRCCATATTCAAATAAGTGTGCAAATATAGTTTTTACAATGCAAATATTAGCAACACTACATAARTTATTGACTTTCTATAATTATTCTTAAAAAATGTACAATACAATACTCAATTATTTTTTAAAGTGCCCCACCCTAAGGAAAGGAATAATGTTGTCTTTCGCAATGGCCTGTAGAAGTCGTGGAGCGCCAGTGAGGGATTGCAGGCCTGCACCAACRGTGGAGAAAAAGGAGCCAATCACAATGACCCACGGAGACGGCCAYGACAGAGTACCAACAACAAGGTTCTTTTGAACAGCATCCCCAAACCTGCAAAAAAAGTGCTGACTAAGTACAACCCTGTTTCATAATCTGACGATGTCTGTTTTTCTCTCTTTTTACATAGATGTGAACATGCACWGATAACGTTGCACACAAACAAACTTACTTGTCTCTCAGGACTACTCCTTCTATACAAGACCCAAACAAAACTACAGAGGTTATATCTGAACAAATGGGATCAAGGAACTCAAGATGACAAAAYTTGTCAATTAATTCTCAATTTGTTTATACTATTTGAAGGAAAAGGATTGACAGTCACTATGGCGTAGGATACAAACAAGCGAAGTAGTGGTAATAGCCAAGATCGTTCCCACAGGTATAGACTTCTGAGCGTCCCTGAGGTCACCAGATCTATTAGAGCCTGCCATAATTCCTGAAAAGGGAGAACACATAAACCAATRATGGTCAAAGTGATGTCAAACAGTGCCGCCTACTGGTTGGCATATGAGTTAAAAGAAAATATTTAAAGACCATTGAACCTTTTGGAAACCACTTTGTTTTAAAACATTATTCCACCTAAAGATGAGTTTTATATGAATCAGAACTTTGTGATATCTGTACGGCCATATAT